TTGTACGCGTCAGACTTTCCTGCTCGCCAAACAAGCAGAAATAATAAGAAACTGATCGAAAACAGATTTTGGTCATTATATTTTGGTCATGATTAAGAATTGTTCTGATTGTTCTGAGGAACGCTCAAATTAACCGGCGATACCAGAGTAAAGAGTTTCATAACGTTTATTCGTAAGTCAGAAGAAATGCAAAAGATTACGCGTACAACGAGCGCGAGCAGATCTTACAGCACGAAATATGAAGCCTTTTTTCAACCTGAAAAACTCACCTTTTCCCAATGCCTCAGAACAAAAATGCACCTAAAACCTTCCTTCTTCATATGGAAGGGAGTTTCGTCGAATTTCTTTACAAAGCCAAGTTCCAGTGTAAGTAAGCGCAATCTGCTCGTTTTAGTAGACCCCAGTCTATTGCATCACACCTTTTTCCTCGGACCCGCTCGTTTCACCGCCCCACATATAAGCACCCTGGTTTATTCTTCCGCTTTCCGACTATCTACTTCTCATTAGATCGTAAGCGACAGAGTCATAAGCAGAATCGGTTTTCTGCTTCGGACTCCGTTGGTTTAATTACCAGTAGATCGTATAACTCTACATTTCTGACTGCGACTCCGACTACGACTCCGTCGCTAATGAAAACCAGCCTTTAGAGACTTTTACAAAGCACCAAAAGCAGAATCCGATTACTCTAATTCTGTCAAAAGTTTTTAAATTAAACTCGAAACTAGTTCGTGTATGCGGTCTAACTCCGCGGTTAAGTCTGTACTACGATCGTTTTAGCTTTCCATAGATATAAATACGTCTTTTTACTTATGCAGTTGAATTGTCCCGCAAGTTGAACTTTTCAAACGTCTTTACAGCAAGGATTTTGTTTGACAATAACACACTTGTATCGTGTCTTAACGACGAAAAAAAGTAAAAGGCATTTACAGAAAAATACACAGAAGAAAAGCATTGCAATAAGTGAGACTCTTTACCTGCAAATCTTCTCTTTGTCCTGAATATATATTCTGTCAAGAATTCTTTGCACAACTCCTAGATTTCAACTGCCTAATGCATTCGTCAGTAAATACGCTGTTAAAACTACACGCGTCCTCCTGCTTTTAAAAGTTTTAAATTTCATTTTCGCGCGCGCATGATTACACTCACGCACGCACTTAGACAAGTAGTCAAAAANAAACGTACAAATTAACCGGCGATACCAGAGTAAAGAGTTTCATAACGTTTATTCGTAAGTCAGAAGAAATGCAAAAGATTACGCGTACAACTAGCGCGAAATATGAAGTCCTGTTTTCCGGCAACCTGAAAAACTCACCTTTGCCCATTGCCTCAGAACAAAAATGCACCAAAAACCTTTCTTCTTCATATAGAAGGGAGTTTCGTAGAATTTCTTTAGAAATCTAAGTTCCAGTGTAAGTAAGCGGAATCTGCTCGTTTTAGTAGACCCCAGTCTACTGCATCACACCTTTTTGCTCGGACCCGCTCGTTTCACCGCCCTACATATAAGCGCCCTGGTTTGACTTTGTTGCTGTGCGCGCGCCGGTTGCAACAAGCGAACAATCATCATCTAAACTTATCAAACATACATAGACTGAAATGGTTCTTCGAAAACGTTCAATAACTCTATAACAACTACGTAAACACGAACACTAAAAGTTGGGGGCGAACTCGAAATAGAAATTCTATAGTGGGGGCGAACTCGCCATGGGGCGAAACCGGTATTATTCATTACATGTACAGTCAAACCTCTCTGCAACGGCCACCTTGGAGACAGATGAAAGTGGCCGTTTATATGGCCTGCGAAGCAAGCATTCCCGTACCAAAAGCTTTTCTGCATTTTGAATGTGGCTAAATGTAATTTAGGCTAAGTTAAACGCGAGACAATGCTGGCCAGCAGTATCTCCCAGGGTTTTGGTGCGGGGTGGCCAGGGGTTTCGTGCAGGGGCACCACACGGTTTACAGTTAAGCTTCAGATGTCAAGTCATTCCGCGTTTGCTATCGCTATCGGATACTTCTCACGGTGCTTTTATTCCCGGCCCATCCCTCCCTCTAGTCATGGTAAGTATGTGGTAAGTATCTGTGTGTCCACTGTTTTTCAGTGTGACGGTGCCGGTTGGGTGGTTGCCGCTCACAGGGTTGTCATGGTTACCCTATGCGTTCGGCTCGGTGACACTCGTGGCTTCACCCTCCTTTTAGGCACCACTCCCCAAGCTCATCTGTTGTTGATGAGTTTTTAAACCATTTTACCGTTGAGCGAGAGCAAAAATTCGACGAAGCCCTGCTTCGTCAACTTTTTGCTCTCGCTCCAATTTACGCGCGGCCAGAATGCGGAAAAGCTCTTCGTAAGATAGCGCTTGCTACGCAGGCTACCGTTTATATAGAGAGGTGCCGTTATGGGGAGGTGGGGGTGAAATAAGTCAGCTGTTTTTTCAGGGGGTACAACATTTTACATTTACAATACCTAACTGTGACACAATCAAAATATATCATTAAAACAGAGACCAACGACGCGCGGTGACCTTTTACAACATAACATGATGTTAGGTAAACACCATTCGTCAGTCGTTGATTAACTGGCCTGGGTTAGTCGAATGGTGGATAACGCTATCCACCGGATAAACTGCTATCCACCGGATAGCGTTGTTTGTTTGGTCAACACTTATCCACTGGGTAGCGATTTATCCGGTGGATAGTGTTATCCAGCCTCCCAACAACCGGGGCCTGGCCGTTGAAAACGGCGACGCCGAAAACAACGTCGATTAAAGAACGAATTTATATTTTACTTACGAATCTTTAGTACTCTTAAGTCATTTAGTTTATTACTGTCGAAATAGTCTCGAAACTAAATCTGGAACACAGCTATGGTATTTGAAGTAAAATGTTTTCCAGACAACGCAGAATTAGGTCATTTCGTGTTGTTGTTTTGAAGAGGACGGCAAAGAAATTTACCAAGAATTATAAGGCTCGTGCACAGCCATCGTATTGCTGATTAAACCTTTTGTTTAGCGACGTTCCCTTTGCCGTTGCCGTCGCCGTCGTGGTTTTCTTAAATTCCCTATTTTGTTAGTGTGGGACGCGCTTTAGTGCCCATTGCCGTTGTGGAGAGGTGGCCGTTGTAGAGGTTAAAATAAGGGTGAATTTATGGATTGTCCGCGAGGAGGAAAAAAGTTGGCTTTTGTAGAGAGGAGGCCGTTAGTGCAGTGGAGGTTCGACTGTAATAGTTTGCAGTACTGCTTGACAATCGGTTGTTTCCCGTTTCCGGGCTTCTTTCTTCTCAAGAAAAGCACGGCCAAAACAGCAAATATTGTTTCCGAATTCTGCAGTTCATAATCTTTCTATTGATATCTGTGGTAGTTTCCTTAAAAACAACTCGGGTACGATTTTTTTCTCTCAAGGACAACCGTGAAGGTAGAAAGACGATCGATACATAACACGCACGTGGTCAATTTACAGCTGCATTTGATGTCTAAGTTACAGTAATAAAACACTTACTTCTTTGACGATATCAAGTCAGATTACTTTCAGTAAACACAGTTCAGGAAACAGATCGAACTAGGTCAGGAAAGATGTCAGCGAAACAGGTCAGCGATACATAAACGTCTTCCTCGTGCCTGTGGTATTCGAGCTCAAAGGCTGGCCTTTTTCACGTGTAATTACATACCCAAATGTCAATCAAAATCAGTGAAGGAAATATTTTAAAATTGTTCATTGTATCAACGAAACAGATGTAATTCATGAAATGCTGGTGTAGTTGTCTTTCGTTGTTGTAAAGTGTTTCAATTTCATTTTGACACACTTGGATTCCAAGATCGACAAGTTTAAAACGCCGACAACTTCTTCGAAAAGCCTGACACTCAGGCTTCCAAGATTAAATCGCCGCACGAAACCTGGTTGTTGCATTTTGTTTTCTGGCGCATTTACAATGTTTTGCTTTGTTTTTCGTAGGCTTGTCCCTCTGCAGAATGTAACAAGAAGGTTATCGAAGAAGGAGATGGTGCTTATCGTTGTGAGAAGTGTAACAAGACTTATCCTGACTTCAAGTATCGCCTTATGTTACTGGTAAGTGTCAAGTGACAATTAAAGAGCCGAAGACTGCATCATCATAGTCTGCGTGGGAAGCGTTTCCGTGGGGTTTGGAAGCAGAGAAAGACCGAGGAACGGGATTTTCGGTGTTTTGCCTGCGCGAAAAATGGGGCGAGAGCCAAAAAAAAGAAAGAGGGGCTAGCATCATAAGAGCTGTCTATCATGCAACATACCTTAAGTCCTCGAATTAGCGCCCGGGGCGCTTATTTGAAATTTAGGAGAAGACGGNTTTATCTGAGGGGGACACTTAATCGAGGAGGGGCCCTTATTTAATTTTTCCCAAATCGTGGCCTGACAGGATCATTTTTTTAATACATCATCTGCGCGTAAACAACAACATAAGCTGTTTATCGACATAAGTAGCTGATCCTTATGTTTAAATCGCGGCACCGTTAGTACTTAACGTGTTCAAGGTGTTCACTTCACAAACTGAAACAATGTACAAATCTGATACTACACGACGAAAACCATACTTCCTTTGTTGTCTCATTATTCGTTCAAAAAATGGGGGAAGGGGAGGGGGGCGCTTATTTTAAATTTTGGCCGATAAGAGGGGCGCTTATACGAAGGGGGCGCTTATTCGAGGGGTGGGGTCTGGGCTAATTCGAGGATTTACGGTATTGCAACAAATGGAATTAAAAACGATTGGCCAATGAGAACTCGGAAGAAAAACCATAGACCCAGGTTGTAAGGGCGAGATAGCCGTTCTGTGCCAATGTAAGATTAGTTGGTGATTTTGGTTCTGATTGGTTTAGAAACCAGAACAAAACTGAACTCCAGCATGTTCCTTTGATTGCAGTCGAACCTCTATTACGCGGCCACCTATTAAGCGGCCACGTTATCAAAGTCCCGAAATCAATGTCAGTAAAATACTGTGAAAAAAACGCCTATTAACCGGCCACCTCTACTAAGCGGCCGCGGCCACCTTTTGGTCGTCCCGATGAGGGTTTTTCTATTGTCTTTACCCACATTAAACGGCCACCCAAAACTTAAAAACTTTGTTTTGGAAAAGGCGATAGCAGGTAAGAGTCCGAAATAGAAGGTGACGAGTGATAAAAACATTTAAACACACGTTTATCATGATTTATTTTGAAGTGACTCCATGTTCACTAAGAAATTAACCCGATGCTGAAAAATATTCAAGGTACATCAACCTTTATTAAGCGGCCAAGGCAATAATTTAAAACCGGAAAAAGGACTTAGTATCAGTGAAAGTACTGCAACGATCGGGAGCTGTGAAACTTAGGAAAGTGTTTACTGTAAAGGCCTGTCCAAACGGGAAATTTTGGCGGCCAAACATCAAACATTATTTGCTGACCAAACATGCTGATGTTGAAGTGAGTGGCCAAACGGTTAATACATGTTTGATCAAACACAGATCAAACAATGGATACAAGCCACTGAGCAAGCGTTATACGCATGCGCGCGCCAAACATGTTTGATACGGCTGTCCAAACGAACAAAACATAGCCCATCAAACAGGAGAACAAAAGAAATGTTTTAAGTTGTTTGATCGAATGTTTGATGACCTTCAAATTTTATCAAACACGATCAAACAGCACCAAACAAGGTGGCCAAACGGTAAAGTGTTTGGTCGCCAAACATTTCCCGTTTGGACAGGCCTTTAGACATGATTGTCTTGTAGCAAAACTTTGCACCAGTTAATGGTGATTATTTCTTTATCAGACAAACCTGGCCGATTTTACTGGTAACCAGTGGGTGACATGTTTCCAGGAAACAGCCCAAGTTCTTCTCAACACTACTGCTGATAACCTTGGTCAGCTGAAAGACTCGGTAAGACTGCGTCCGTACAAGCGTTTATTTAAGCGATACTTCGCTATCAACTAGTCCAAGATAGCGATTGCTTCAATAATATTGCTCGTAGTCAGCTAACCAAAATTATTACAAGACTGCGATCAGTCCCTGCTCTCATTGTATTTTTTTTATTTCAGTATGTTAATTTTATCAGGGCCTCTATTGGTGCCTGTCTGTCTGTCCGTCCGTCCGTCCGTCTGTCTCATCCATTATCTAGCGGCACAATTCGCGTGCGTAGAGTGGACATAGTATCCGTGCGCAACATCCTACACGGGAAATCGGGCGTTTTTTAAAAGACATTAGAGCTTTAGTAATGACCCGGTTAGGGGGGGGGGGTACTCCCAGAAAAATTAGGTTGTGGTGTGCGGCCCGCTTCCCAAACCCCTTACCCTATTTATGACCAAAATCTGCGATATTCCCTACCCTATTTATGACCTGACCAAAAATTCGGAACCGTATTTATGACCTGACCCTTAAATCAAAACCATGTTTCAGACCTCACTTGCGTTATAATTAGTTCTCTAGTTCGGACCAATGTTAAATTACAGTGAACGTAATTTGTGAAGGGCTTTTGTTCATTTTCTTTTCGATAATGCTGAAAAAGTGGCTTCTTCTTAAAAACATACCCATGTCAAGGCTAGAGTACAAAAACCCATACCCTATTTATGACCAAAACGTCTGAAAACCCATATCCTTTGGGGCCGCACATACCTATATAGCCCATATATGGGAGCACCCCCCCCCCCCGGGAATAATGACGGCGCCTTCGAATTTTGCAACTATCTGGATCTATGCGCTATTCCAATCCCGGAAATAAGAGAAAAGTCAGCCGTTGTTGCACATGGAACTGGCTAGCTCAAAAGACCACCATAAACCGCATAATATCAAGCCAAGGTTTAATAATTATTCGATCTAAAAGAAATACATTTATAATTCGCAACCAGAGCAAACACAAATAAATCTTTATCTCGAAGATAAATTCAGAAAACTTGTATTTCAACTTACTTCTGTGGCGGGTAGTTACAACAGTCGCAGTTTACGGGTTAGCACTGAGTCTTTGACAGATTCTCCCGGTGAGCGGGTTTAACAAACAGATTCTCCAGGTTAGCGGGTTTAACAGACAGACTAAAATAACTTCTTTCTCACTTCGATTCTACTGAAAAACTGGTTTGAAACACAATAACCTAACGCCTTTAAATCAATGTATATAATTTATTTCAATCACGATTCTTGTCATCAAATAAATCTGCAACCGTAGTGGTTTACGGTCTCCAAACCCCGCAGAACTTGGTCATTTCACGTTGTTGTTTTGTTTTTGTTTGGGGACGTTTTCGCTGCCCGTTGCCCAATGTCAGCTCTCTAGTAGTCGTGAACATGGTGAGGGGCGAAGAACCTCCACAACTTCACAACTTGCTCCTCGATGACGTACAGTAAAGCATGAAAGCCTTTTGGGAGGCTGACTGCTTAGGGGCTAATCGTCTTGGGGGCTAAACGACTTAAACATTCATGGAAATCTTGACGTGCTAACAACGTAAGCCATTTAGTTTTTAGAAATGCATCAAAATTGCCCAAGATTTAGAAAATTTTATACTATAATACTGAAACCATAGCATAGTTAGGTGAAATTTAGCAGAAATGACAAAAGAGTAGTTAGAATAACGTCCCAATAACGTGTCCAGTTTGCAGTAGAATGTGAAAACAAACCTGGTGGCTATCGTGAACAGTAAGGTCTTTAATATTCGTTAGTTATCCCATTGTTGCGACACAGCCTATTGTTATCATTATTCTTTAATCAGCCATTGTCTATGACCTGAGGTACACTGATTGAAAGGGTTTGCCCGAAAATTCGATAGTTTTCGCAAAACAAGCTGCATGCTTTAGTTGAATGCGCCGCATTCAGTGCTTCCTTCCGCAGCGCATGTTTACTGACCGAAAATTTCATTACGTGAAACATTTGTACGACGGAGCTGAACTAGACTTTGTCCTTTAATTAAGTTTTATTTCCATTCTTGGCAGGGAGATGAACAAGGATTTGATCAGATCTTCTTACATTCAAACTTCAAAACGTACACCTTCAGGATTCGAGCAAAAATGGAGACGTACAATGTAAGATCTTTTTGGTAAAGAGAGTTTAAGCCATATAGGATAGTATGCGCATAACCCTTAAGTCTCAGCGCATACACAAATAATTTGCTGCACTCTTCTTTTTTTTTTTTTATAAGAATATTGTTTTTCCCGCCAAGGTTAAATATTCTTATTTTTCAGCCGATTTTAGGCTGAAAATATTATTTTGAATATTCTTAGATTATAGTGTATGACATTTCTGTTTTCGAATGTATTTGATGACTGGATGGTGTTAAAGTAATTTAGGTGCCAGGCTACAGGTATGACTTGATATAACTTCTTACAGAAATGTTATTAGCATCGAACATGCGGCTAATGTTGTTTTTGTTGATTTTTGGCTAGTTTTTCGCTCCGAGAAAAGAAGAATTTTACACGGTTAAGTTAAAAACATAATTGTATTGTATTTACAAATTTTCAACATACATAGTCTTTTCAAATTCTCAGCCTCGGGTTTATTCTTATATCTAAAATATCCTTAAAATTTCGCAAATTTCAGCCTCTATATTCTTATAAAACATATTCTTATAAAAAAGAAAGAGTGTATCTGTTAAGGACATTTCATTTTCTTGTTCTCATGCTTCAAGTAGTTGTTGTACACGTCTCTTTGTTTACAGGATGAGACCCGCCTCAAATGTACCTCCGTGAATGTGGCACCATTGGATTACAAGCAAGAATCCAAACGTCTGATTGCCGAGATAAAGAAGCTGAGGATGCTTTAGAATACTGCATCAGCAATGGGGACTCATTTTCATTTGTGTTTACTGCGTTAGAGTTTGCTTTACAGCCGTTCATTACTAGTAATGGTAGTCGTTACTTTCTTATGTAAATGTCGGAGATGAGCATTGATTCACCGTCAAACGATTATAGCGAAAACAGAGCACTTGAAAACGAAGGCGAAAGTACAAAGCACTCAGAGTTAAAAAAAAAAAAGAGAGAAAAAAAAACCTAAGCGCCCTAAACTTTAAAGTATAGCATACTTACCCTCTGAAAACAATAAACAGGATTCTTGTTCTTGAAATAATAGCTATGTAATTTCTTTGCAACGTTTACTACGATCCCCCACCCCTCCCCATGAGTGTGTATGGGATTAGACCCTGCAGAGTTACGGTACTCGGTAGTGACGTGAGAGCCAAATATAACATACGCGTCAAAACCGACTTCTGGGTGAACTGAGTAGTGAACATATCTGTATATCCGATCATCGGATATACAGGGTCTAGTTCCGGTTAGCTTGAGGTATCATCCATAGGACCTTTTTTAACTTGTATCTTTATAAAGGAACTCCATGTTGATAATTCACCAAAGGGAGAAGTAAAATTTGTTATTACAAATCATCCCCGTGTCGCGTTCTCTTTGCGTTAACATCCATCTCGCGCGCTATCCGCCATTTACCTCGGGAAGGTTTTTTTTTCACTCTTTGCTGACTTGATCCTTTTCTGAAGCAATTATGTCTCTATTTTACGCAGAATATGCCTAATATCATTCGCTCACAAGGTTTCTTATCACTCCAACGTGTTTATAAATTGCACCTTGAATTTGGAACTCGGCTACAAGAATTATACTCTTATCACCCTGAAACGATTATAAAATATTTTGTAACTAATCTTAATAAACACAAACACAGCATCAGGGGCGGGCACCTCGTTTATTGATGCAGGATACAGCGAGCGTTACATCATCATAAAGAAAATACAGCAGTGAATAAACAGATTTGTTGTTGTTGTTTTCTTTTTTACAATAACAAGACCCCTATATGGTCAAATATGAGGGGAAAAGACGCCGTAAACTTGCCGTAAACAAAGATAAGGGAATTTATTTCAAAATGACGCAAACATTGTCAATACCTTTTCTCGCTTTTTTGATTGGCTAGTTAAAATAGTCAATGAAATCCCATTGGCTAAAAAGTTGGCAGTTCGACAGCTAAAAGTTGAATTGTTGAAAGCTTGCATAAATTCAATTTTGTTCCGCCTGTACTCTTACTGATGATTAAAATGAGCTAATCAGCGCCCGAGAAATTAGACAGTTATTGTAAAAATCGACAAATAACAGCTAGTTTTCAGCTGGAAGCCGTTAACGAAAAGGTTCATTAAACTTGATTGGTGACAGTAGGAAAATTTCGCTTTCATTTTAGTTGTGTACTTGGGACGTAGTTGATTAGGTCAATGCCAGCCCTAGCGCGCGCGTGGCGGTTAAACCATGCCTTGCGTAATGCGCAGAACATGATACGCTCGTTGATTCGTCTCTCACAACTTAAGGTGGCTCCCTATAGTTTTTCGACTGCACGCGCGCATAGGACGAAAGCTCAAGTAATCTGCCCGCGCTCAAAGGAAAACGTAAGTGTTTCGATTTTTGTGACGTCAACATGAGGTGAATTTTTTTAAATTTGACTCAGTTGTAACCACATATAATTCCGATAAAATATCCTATTTTTGTTAAAATCTGTCAGAGCTAATCTAATATATTTAGAAGAATGACAAATTACAGAATATTGGAATGAACCGTCTGAACAATCTTGACTTTTTCCCACTTCAAAATGTCAAGCAATGTTATTAACTAAGTTTCCTTTTCTAACTCGCGCTCTATAGGGAGGGTGTTCGTAAATACTCTATGGAGCCACCTTAATTTGCCTTTGCTTGTGCCGCAGCGTTAATCTCATATCCAGATCTCACTCTGTTTGACGCCTGGCCGTGGGAGATCTGGGTTCGAGGTTATCGCAGCGTATGAAAATCTGCTCGCAGGCGTGACTCGATGGCCCATAATAATTCAATGTGGTCATCTCGCGCAGACTTCTAAATGACTTTGCCTATAAATAACCAAGTAGGCTAGTTCACATGTTGGATTATGTTTATAAACGGGACAACAAAATCGAAGTTTCGCTTTTGAAGGTTTATAAGTGACGCGATTTGTGAAAATGGCCTTTATAGTTTTCGTCTAGCGCACTTAACTAATTTTCACTGGCCAAACAAACCATTTAGATATGGTATACACATAGCATAACCCTCTTTTCTAGAAGCTCTTATTTGTGGAGTTATTCGTATACTAGAAGAGTTACAATTTCTCCTGTTCATTTTGGGCCAGTTTGTCATACAATAAGGAAAAAAATCGATTTTTTTTTATTTTAACCTCAGACCACTGGAGTCACGACGAACGTTGGGAATTCAAATCGCAATTCCATTTGTGTAATTCTTATATGATTCAACAGTAGTCTGAGCTATACCGAGGTAAACTTTTTGCAATTTTAATAAAAACTTAACTACTGAGCAGCACTCTGCCAACTGCAGTTGTATAACTTCTTTATTTCTCCTACGCGTTTCGTTTGACTAACGCACACTCCGTCAGGGCGTTGAATAATACAGCACGAAGCGCCTGTATTTATACCTAACTCATACTAGAGTTTACATTTCGTAAGAACACACCTACGGATATACATATAGGAATGAGAAACTCCGCGGTAATGCATCTAGTAAACAGGCGGTAAGTTTCGGAAAGGTGTGACATATTTTGTGTTTGTGCGTGATATAATTTTGGGACTCGCACTTTTAGCTAAAACTGTGGGCCGCAAAATTTTATTATACGAAACGCGTAGGAGAAATAAAGAAGTTATACAATCACAGTTGGCAGAGTGCTGCTCACTAGTTAAGTTTTTGTTATCATCATCATCATCATCATCATCATCATCATCATCATCATTATTTTTTATTTTAACCTCAGACCACTGGAGTCACGGCGAACGCTGGGAACTCAAATCGCGATTCGATTTGTGTAATTCTTATATGATTCAACAGTAGTCTTAGCGACACCGAGTTAAACTTTATGCCAAACCGTGGGTTGCTTTGGCCCTAGAGAAGACTTCATATTTTCTATTCCTGAAGTAGAAAGTTTGTTTAAACAGACACTGAGTTATATCATTATACTTAATAACTAACACTAGAAACTAAAAGGAAAACTGAGAGGAACTGAAAGGCCGGACTTCAAATTAAAGGCCTTGCAAATTTCGCTGAGTGGCTTTGATAACCGCAGTTAAGGGTGGAATCCAACTTTCTCGTTGTAAAGGAAGTAACAATATGGCCCGGCTTCAACAGAATAATTCTATAATAGTTGTCAGGCTTTGAAAGCGTTATTGGACGGGAAGGGGCTGTTGCATATCACCTGCACTACGCACTGAGGTTTGCCACCTTTAATGACAATCCGTATAATTCTTCTAAAATATGTTATGAATAATTATTCCATATCACGTTATTCGGGGTTCGACTGATTTGATGCAATCACACTTTCTACTTTGTTGCTAGCAAAGTCATTGGGAGATTGGTTACAACCAGTTTTAGTGAAGAAAAAACTTAGCTTAGGTTTTTTAGCTATTAGGAGCCAGTTCCTGTAAATACCGAGAATTAGATGACAGTCGCGAAATTTTCGATTTCTTCATATTTTGCCCAAATAACCTCTGTAGTGAGCTGTTTTCGAAAATACCATTCAAAGGTCCTGAAGCGCTTTAGTTTTTTCGAATTCGAGGAAAGTTTGAAAATCGCCATTTTAGCTGCCTGA